TCTCAGTCTCAATCTCATCGATGATGGGTTTGAACGCAACATTAAAGCCGTCCGTGGCAAGGATAGTCCCAGGACGGGCCCCAAGGGTCGGACGAACGAAGCTAGAGGCATTCCTCACCTTCCAGAACCCTCCCGCTTGAGACTCCCTCACTAGCTCCAGAAGGTGAGCATCGCCAATGGTTTGGTCCAAGATCGGGCAGCCCTCCAGGGCTTTGGCGGCCGAAAACAAGGCAGGTGGTAAAGGCGAGTCCTGCATCGCATCTAACAATTCTTGTTCCTCACCTGGGAGTCGTATTATGTACTGTTTGATTATACTATAAAACGCAGCGGTGAGGTCGAGGAAGAGCCCAATAGATGACACGCCATCCCTACGCTGAGCGTGGAATCTGCTGCGAACAAAATGCGTAGCAACATCAGTGGACCTGCCCTTGAAACCTCCGCACTGAGTGCCATGAAGACACTGTCCTATAAATTGCCACGCTCTCTCTCTGACAAATTTGTGGTGCACCTTACTGATGGTGTTCCCCAGCAGTATACTTCGCTGGGCTTTAGCTTTACTTTGATCGCCCTTCCCTTTGAACAAACTCACCACCTGTCCCTCTTTGAACCCATACGGCTCACGACCCCCAATCGCAGTTTTAACCAGGATCGGGTGGAAGGCTCTCGCAAGGCCCTCAGGTTCGATCAGGAACAAGTCGGTGTCGAGACCATATGGCCCGCCCGCGGTCCCCCTCTTCAATTTACTCAGGGATCTACCCAACACTTGCCTAGGGATCACGTTTTCAATGCTGAGGGGGGTTTCATCAGATAAAACAGTGCCTCTGAGGTTATACAACTCCACAATTTGCTCTCTGGTAGCCGGCTGTGCTTTTTCGATCTCGCCAAAATGAAGTTGAAGAACGTCAGCGTCGTCCTGCGGCGAAAGCAATGGAACTCCCTCGGGAGTCGTCCTGAGAGGGAAAGCAAGGGGCTGCTTGTGGCGGCGGCCTCCGTGGAGCAACAGCTTGCCAGCTTGTCGCCACTCGGCCCGTGACACATTGGCTTCAATGCTCTCAGAAATGTTGACAGCTTGCTTTTCTAGGTAATCGCTGTAGTCCCTATCTAAGGACTGCAGGAGGACCTCAAGGGATCCCTTAAGAAAACACCCTAGTTCCAACCCCCACTCCGCAACGTGCAAACGCTTCCAGAGAAAGTCCCCAGCAGCTTTGTCGAGCCTCGTCCACATGGCGACGATATCATGCCACAGCGGGGTTTCCCTGATCAGATCATCATCGAGTCTTTCCCGAAGCTCGCCCTTTCTGACGCTGAAGGCCAGGGGAAAAAGTCGCCCGACATTATCTTCAAGTCCGCCTTTCAGGCGAACATACATCAGCGCTTTTTTGACGGCACGTCGGGCACGGATAAGCCAGAATGCGCCAACAGTCAGGTAGGGTTTGCGTGGCCTCAACGCCTCCTTTTTGAACGCTCTCTTGGCAGCCTGCCGAACATGCTCGCACGTGTCCTGAAGCTGCACATTCAAGTCAACGTGCCACTCAGCAAGTTGAAAGTTGCGAATGGATTCTCTAAACAGGTCGCATGGCCCATCCAGGAGCATCTTGCCCCTGTCTAGGGCAGCAGCAGCACCAACACTTTTGACGGCCTCGCGTGTCCAGGCAAGCTTGCCAAGCACAGGGAAGTGATCATCGGCTCTCCTGATCAAGTCAATGTGATGTTCCACGGAGATGTCAGAGATGCTTTTAAAAACCTCCTCATCAGTAACAATAAAATCGATTCTGTGCTTAGTGCCAGCTTTATTTGACACGAATGTGAAGTCTTCCTCGGGGCCCAAGAACGTATTAGCAGCCTTCAAGCTGAAGTCGTTTAGCCATTCCGCCATTTGGAAGGCTCCCGCCGAGCTCTGGCCCCTCATCCCCTTGGTCCCCGCATAGGAGCAGTCCTGATCCCCCTCAAGATGGCAGTTGTCATCAATGAAGCAGAGGTTGGGAGGCCATCTCTCTGCTACCTGGCGCATATCATCCCAAAACTGCTTCCGTTCAGCCGCAGTGTTGCTCGCATGCGGGGCGTGTGCCACAATGGCACTTAAATTCACAGCTGTCGCATCTAGTCTGCAGGCCAAAAGACGCGGTGAGGACCACATCACGCGAAGCTGCTGCACACTGAAGGTAAGAGGCACCTCTTTTGCAGCCCCATAAGGAGCCGTGACGTTGAGCCAAAGCTCGCAACCCAAAGAAAACTGATGGTGGCCCGAGGAGACACACACCCAGTCTCCAGCCCTGCGGGTGCCTTTCTCATTCCTCCCTTCCTGGACCCCCACAATATGAATTCCTTTCCGATACATGTGCGATATGAGGGCAGCTGCTCGCCTCGATCTGTTCCTTGCCTTTTTGCCGTGGCGGTGAGCCTGGCGAATCGATTGGGCGTTGAAGGACGCCACCTGAAACTCCACAGCAGCCGAGATCTTGCGCCGACTCTGTCCCTCGCCAGCACTCTCTGACTCGCACTCGGCTTTGCAAGAAGGCCTCACACCGCTCACAACCATCCTATCTTGTTCAAACGAAAAAGTGGGGTAGGCATGCGCATCCGCTTGCCCCTCCGAGGCCCACTCCCAGAGTCTGGAGGTCCCAAAGCAGACGGCATCAACCCAAGCCGACGGAAGAGGCAGGGGTGCGGGTCCGACCGGTCGCGCAGTTATCTTCGCGGCGTTGTCCGCAAGTACGTTCCAAGGGTGGCCGCAGTGGGCCTTCACGTGTTCGAGGGTAACCCCCGCCTCTTCTCGAACCATATCCCAGACCACCTGAACCAGCTGAGCTAGCTGACGATCCGAAGCTGGCAAACACCCCATTTTGGCCGCTCTGATGGTGGTCAGACTGTCAGAGCTAATGCTGATTGGGCACGGGGGCCTCTCAGCCAAAATCCAGAAAAAGACCATACAGGATGCCTAAGCACTCAAGAGTAGTGCTCGTAGCACCATCAGGCTCAATGCTCATCGAGTTACTTGCTTTTAATTCTCCCCTAAGTATCCCTTGATAAGCATGACCCCCACCCTTGTCAATGGTCATGACCACTGCCCATGCTCCCATCCCCTTCCCCTACTCTGTAGAGCGAGCCGTCCGTGAAAAAGTGGATGGCGTCGGGGACCGTGTCCACAGGTAGCGGAGGGTAAGCCCTCAGCGCCACCTCTACCTCGCACTCGAGTAGGCCCGTATCGCGAAGTTCTTCGAGCGGTAGTAACTGAAAACCTGTTCTTTCCTGAAGCACCAAGTCCCGAACCCTGGGCAGTGCTGCAAAACTCAAAGAGAAGACTCTAGGCGTGCTATGCTCGTTAGAACCTCGCTCATGGGTCCCGTGGCTGTGTGCTACTGCGTCTCCTGAGGGCCTCTCAGACGACCTGGCATCATAAGTGGACCCCAAGGATGTCATGCCAGCTGCCGCGTCCGTGCCCCGAATTGTCTGGCCCTGCTGATCAGGGATCTGCTCGCACGAGTCATCGCACCTGTATTGGCAAAGCTTGGTTTCCCGACAAGCTGCAGAAATGAAATCAGACGTTTTGAGAATAGACCTAGGAGCACAGATGGCCCCATCACCTTCTAACTTCCCCGAAAAGGTGACACATGCACTATTTTGGACATTAGGCGAGTGCACAGAAGCATAGCGTGGACCCAAACTGGAGAGGGAGCCAGCCGACCCCGCCAGCCCCAAGAGGCCAGGCGAAATGCAAGTAACACTGTTTGGTGAAAGAGCGAACCTAACCCGTTTGCCCTCACTTACCTGCTCAGCCTCACTCAGCCGCGCATCATCAGCTCGATCACGTGCCCCTGCTGCGCGATCAGCCCGCTGAAGATGCCGTCTTGGCTCATGATGCTCACGATGTTGCTTCAAGCTCCGCCCAAGTTCTGCATCTTGGGCGCTTTGCTGGGTGGTGACCTCCCCTCCAGCCTCCCTGAGGTAGCCACCGTCGTAGTCGCCGAAGAACTGCTGGCCCCAGTGCTCGTTGCCGCTGCCTCGCACGCCTGATCTATCTTCTCCACCTCTCGCTTCAGGCACGCCTGATCTATCTTGTCGATCTCCCTCTTCACCTGTGACGGGTTGGTGGCCTCCACCTGGTCCGAGTGCACAGGGTGGGTGACCGACGGCGGCGCCTGAGCTAACAAGTATGGATCCTCGGGCTGTGTATCCATCATCTCCGTCGGGGTGATCGGCTCGACAGGCATCTCCACCGGGGGCGGTTTTACCATCAGGCCCGACACGAACGGCGTAGGCCTCTGACTGGCGACCGTCTCCTCGTATCCAGTCCTCGCCTGCGGCCCTGCTGGTTCCGTAGGCGTCAAAAGTGGCGAAGGCTGTCCAGCAGGGATTGGTGTTTCCGCGCCTCCTATCGGCGTGCCAGGAGCCGCCAGCACAGCTGCTGGCGTGCACGGTGCTGGCGCGCCCGCTCCTGGAGGGTGCTCTTGTACACGAAACCCCGCGGCTGCCGAGGTCTGCGCCTGCATCCATCCGATCACCGAGTTCAGCATCTTGTCCTGCTGCTCCTGCTTGGCACTCATCATCTTCCAGAACCCCAGTAGTTCCGCGGGCAGCTGAGATTGTTGGGGCTGTTGCGTCTGCATCTGCGGCTGCATCTGCTGCTGCTGTTGCTGCATCTGACCAGGATGTGGTGCCCCCTGCTGGTGTGGCCCAGTCTGCATCTGCTGAATCATGCCGGGCTGAATCTGGCCATTCTGTATAACTCCCTGCATGCCTATCCCAGGCGGTACAGGCTGCTGCTGAGGATGAGCCTGCTGATGCTGCTGAGACTGTTTGTGCGGTGTTGTTCCGCTCACGAGCTTGCCAGCCGCCGATACTGTCAAGAATTGCGGGATAGCGGCCTGGCCCTGCTCGTGCAAGTTGTAGTGCTGGACTCCATCGGGCCGCTGCTGCGCCTGCTGCCAGGGCTGCTGCGGTTGCTGCTGCTGCTGCTGATGAGGCTGTGGTCCACCATCTTCTGCCATTGGCTCGTCTACCTCCTCTGGCATCTCGTTCAGTTCGTTCAAGCAGCTCTCTAGCTGCGCTATCTCCATCTCGATCTCCTGTTGCTGATCTGCCAGCGACTGCATACGGCTCATCGCGTTGCTCAACTGGTCCTTGGCTTTGTCCAGCTTGAAGTTCACATCCTTTTTTTGATCCCGAATTGTATTCAAACTGTTCAGCGCCGACTTCAGCACCATCAACTCCATGTCGTGTCTGTCCGCATCTTCCCCTTTGTTCGCTTTCTTGGCCATGATGGCCAGGCTGGCTAGCTTCTCCATCTGGCTGTGTAGCTCCTTCTTGAAGCTCTGCACTTCGGTCTGTCGCGTCGGCGGGGTCCGATGCGCCGAGTGCGTCCTCGCCGCCCTGTGAGGCATCGGGGGAAGCCGTCGTATGTAGCTCTGCACCACTACGTCTGGTTGCTTCCCTGCGCTCTGGCTTCGCGGCCTCTGTGGTCCCCAAGCCGCGGCACCTCTGGGCTGCTGCTGCTGGGCGCCCCTGGTCTGCTGGTGGCCGCCGTACATCTTGTTGTAGGTGACCCCGCACAGGCATCTGTTGTGCCAGTGCTTGACGTCGCGCCCGCAGCTGCGCTTCCACGTGAACGCCATCTGGTTGCTGTGGTGGGCCAGTAGACGCTGCCTCGCCGCGTCAAGGGCCACGAGCAATCTCGCTTGGTGTCGTTTTTGTCTCTCCCGTCGGTGCCACGCCTTTTCGCGCGGCCTGCCAGTGAGAGAAGAAAAGACAACTATGTTGACACGTGGTGTCGCGGCGCTCTCTGAGCGCGCGCCTGGGGTCTGGCCTCTCAAAACAAGAGTTCGGTATCGGTTGTGTCCTGCGGGGTGCTCAGGCCAAGCCCTCTCCTCCTCCTCCTCCTCCTCCTCCTCCTCCTTCTCGTCCTCATCCTTCTCGTCTCTTCTCCTCCTCCTCCTCCTCCTCCTCCTCCTCCTCCTCCTCCCCCTCCTCTGTTGTTCCTCCTCTGTTCCTCCTCCTCCTCCTCCTCCTCCTACGTTCCTCCTCCTCCCCCTCCTCCTCTTCATCCTCATCCTCATCCTCATCCTCATCCTCACCTCCTAAGGCCGCCGCGCGCTCAGGCCATTGATGGAGCAGCGGCCTCCAGTCACCGCCCCCTTGCCATGCCCAAAAGGCAGGGGGCCGCTCGACGACGCCCCGCGCACCGCCCGGCCGCCATGGCCGTGCTCCGGAGCGCGGGCGCCGCGCACCTGTTGAGCACAGGACTCGCTACGCTGACCCTGAACTACTGGACGCTGAGCTTCAACTTCAACATCATCACGAACACAGAGGGCCAGCACAGGCACACCACGCGGCCCATGAATTGCCACAAGTGGAACAATTCCGCGCTGAACGTGACTGGCCACACGGACCACCCCACCCAGATTGCGAAGGACTACTGGACACTGAAAATCAACTCCAACATCATCACGAACATAGAGGGCCAGCACATGCAGGATTACAACACGCTGACCCTGAACGACTGGACGCTGAATTTCAAATTCAACAACCTCACGAACACAGAGGGCCAGCACGGGCAGGACTGGGCGCTGAGCTCCAAGATCAACATCTTCACGAACACAGAGGGCCAGCACAGGCAGGACTACGACACGCTGACCCCGAACTACTGGACGCTGAGCTTCAATTTCAACATCCTCACGAACACAGAGGGCCAACACATGCAGAACTACACCACGCGGCCCCTGAATTTCCACCAGTGGAACGATTGCACGCTGAACGTGACTTGCCACATGCTGCTTCAGACGACGCACAAGACCAGGCTGAATGGCAGCAACAATACGGACACCTACACGATGAGGAAAGAGCTCCCAGGGATCATCGCCATCACGCAGGAGATCGAAGGCTACAAGTACACCCTGGACTCCCCCCTCAGGAAGAGCGACACCCCAGAGGACAAGAAACGCCTGCAGGAGATAGGGTCGCCAGCGCCCCCCTTCGCGCTGGCGATCTTGGAAGGACTGTAAAAGTGTGACGTGGGCGGCCCCATGGAGGGTGCCAGTCGGAACCACCTGCACCGAGCGGAGACCGAGGACATCGAGGCAGAACACAGAGGGCCAGCACGTGCAGGATCACGCCACGCGGCTCCTGAATTACTACCAGTGGAACAATCGCACGACGAACGAGACTTGCCACCTGGACCACTACATCCACACCCAGCTCGCGAAGGACTACTGGATGTCCCAGGGCATCTCGACCACATCTCCGACACATGCCGTGCAAATCAGACTATGATGTACGCAGGCATTAAGATCCGCCAGTGCACTACCGACGCCCCGCATCATTTCGAGGACCGCCGCTATCATACATGGGTCGATTTCGGATGGGGTCGCGGGGCACACACGAGCAGCTCAGTAAGCAGCAGCATCTCAGCATCCAAGCGCCAAAGCCGCAAGATAGATATCGACAAGGCACGGCACCCCCCACAATCTGACCTACGGGGCGCGGGCGCCGTCGAGCTTCATCGAGGCCAGCTCCGCTCTCGACTCACTGCTGCGCATTCCCCACCGCGGCCGAACGGAGCAGGTCATTACCAACGCTGGAAAGCAGGACGCCGCCAACCATGGAGCTGGGTACCGCAGGCACATACCGACATCCCTATTCGTGTCATGCCCATCCTGTTCACGGACCTCAACCAAGGGCCAGGGCGACGATCACGACAGCGCCGCACCGACAACGCAATCGGCAGCTACCAACCCAGCGACGAGACCGAGCTCGGACGCTTGATTCACGGCAAGTTCCTGACGCACCAGCTGACAGCCATCAACATGCACACCGACGTCGGCAATACCTACTACGAGCACAACAAAGCCAGATCAAGTATCAACTACTTCACCGGCCACGACAACTTCATGGAAATCGTGAAGCACGTGAAGCTGAATTGGAAGATCCACACCAAGTTGAGTAGCCTACTACATGTTGCCGACCACATCCCCATGATTACGCAGATCAAGATGCCTGCCAGCGGCGCCAACATCACGAACAACAACACCCGCTGGGACTATGGCCTACTTGCTGCTGGGCTCCAGACGGGCGCCCACCGTGCGTCCTCTATCAACGACGCCTACGCCGAGATTAGCAAAGACAAGGAGGCCCTCCGAGTTGTCCAGATGGATCAGTGGGCTCCCCCCGAGGCCAGCGCGAGCACCTCTTCCCTCCTCTCGGCGACAACGCGCGACGGGGCGGACACCGACGACGAGACAAACCCCACCTTCGAGTGCAACATCGGGTCGTGCCAGAAACGGATTACCACGCGCTCGGCAGCTCCAAGTGCCCCCCCGCCGCGCCCTGCGCCATCCAGATGCCGCCCCTCGTCCGCCATCGAGGACGCCCCTGATGCAAGCGCGTCCAACTGCCAGTCGGTGGAACACATCGCGGGCAGCGACCTACGCAGCATACCTAAACATCGACCACTTCGACGGCCACAAGCAGCACAGCGCCCAGCAGCAGTATATGTAGCGCCCGCGCGGGCGATCCGAGTGGCTCATGTTTCCTCTACGCCTACTCTCCTGGGACAGGGGGGCGACGCCCAAGCGGAGAGCGACGTGGCGACTCCCACTGGGCCCCTCCCAGGGCTCGAAGGGCTCGGGCACCGCTACGACGTCACCAAGCAGAAGCTGGTGATCGGCGCGCCCATGTGGGAGGGCCAGGCGGTCCACCACCGAGGCGCGGCCCCAGTGGGCTCGCCCGAGGAGGAGGTAGGCCACTGGCTAGAGACGCTCGAGCAGTGAACCCGCCTTCTTGCCAGAGCGAGCTTGTCTTTCTGCCGGAGCGAGCCTGCGTCCACGGCGCAGGCCACAGCGCAGAGGAGGCGAGTCCACGCCGTGTCAATTTTTGTTCGAGGCTAAAGCCTCCCTGCCAGTAGCAGCGCGGTCACGGTCACATCCCGCCCTCCTCCGTCGCGCCTCCCCCCCCCCTGCCGCGCCTGCACATGCAGAGGAGCTGCGCGAGGTGGAGGCCCCACCCCGCCCGAGTTCAATGCCGAAGACGAAGCGGGCAACATTATTCAGCTAGCATTTCGACGCTGCTAGGCACGCGCTGCGCAGGAGGCCCCTCCGAGCAGCACCCTGGCAGTCTGGCCCAAGCGGGGCGACGCGGGACAGTCGGCTCTCTGCGACGGATCGCCCACGTCTGGTTTCAGTGCATACCATATTTTGATATCAGATATTGGTCCTGACGTCGAGGAAAAATAATCCTCACCTCCTCATCGTCTCCCCTTCTCACCTCCTCACCTCTTCCGTTTCCTGCTCCTCCTCCTCCTTCTGTTTCTCCTCCTCGGTTCGGTTCGGTTCGGATGACGGCGGACAGTCGACGCCTGCATGGAGAGCTTAAGAGTAAGAAGACCAATGAGTGAAGAACGAGCAGCAGCAAGGCAGGCAGGAGCAAGAGGACCTGACAGCTTGCAGGCACACAGGAGCCTGCGTGCACCAGGGTACTACCTTTTAAGGTGGGTGTACACCAGAGAAAGAACTATGGCAAAAAGAAATAGAGAGCTGGAGAAGAGTAGCCCCCCCCCCCCCCCCCCCCCCCCCGCACCCTCCCAACCCACGTTGCTGCCTCAGGCGCCGCAACTCCCCAGTGGAGTCTGTTGCACCATGCAGGTACTGCCCTGAACCAGGGGGCGAGCCTGGCGGAGTCCTTGGCCCTTCACGCGGCTTGAAAGGGCGGTGAAACAACAGCAGTCTGCAACTCAAAGAGGAAGTGGAGAGAGACTGTTGAACATGAAATGAGGCGGCGCCGTTGTCGTCATATCATAGACTGTGCCTGCTGCGCCGATGTAGCAAGCAGTCCGTGGACGGTCCCTGATTGAGATATGGGTCCAACACAGCGCACAAACTCCGCAACCCCTGAGGAAGTGTCCACTGGTCATCACAAGGGTCAAGGTTAATGAGTCTGCGCAACTGTCGCTCTTGATTCCATGTCCATTCGAGCGGTTGCCTCACAGGGCGGAGGCGCGGGGAGGGCAGGGGACAGCGGGGGGCAATGCGTCGGGAAAAGTGTTGCGAACTTGTTGGGGTAAGCAGGCTCCAAGAAACCCACCAAGCTTGGGAGGGAACACATTCGCACGATAGGTGATCCACCGCCTCTCTTCTTCTTTGCCACGCATCCCTCTATGCCCGCCACCATGGTTGCATCTACCCTGCCCTTGCCTGCTGCAAAGAAACTCATGTATAGTAGGCATGTGAACAACCAGCAGGGAGGTAGGGTTCAGTACTGTCGCCCCAAACATGCACTGGTGTAGATTCCATTGTCGAACCTCTGGCATGTCGAGCAGGCTTCGAACCTGTGGTAGTGTCCAACAACTCGGGGCTACATGGGGCACCGTGGGGGGACTGGGGTGTACCATGACGGCAGGAATCCTTAGCATCCACGCATGATAGAAAAACTCCAGGGTCGTCCTGAGTAGGAGGTTTTCCAAGCGCACCCGTTCGTGTTCGCGAGTCCTCAGATGCCCCAATCCCCAAGGGTGCTCGGGAAGGCGGAGGGGGCGGGTCGGGGGCGCGCCAGCAGGAGCATTAGGGGGGCCCTCACGACACCTGTCCTCGGACCAAGTCTCGCAGGGGGGGGGGCGCCAGAATTCCCGCGATACGACCTGACATCATCATCAGGGTCCAGATGCTGACGCTTCGGGGATTGGTAGGGTCACCCATCTCGGGGTCTATGTCCATTGCTCAACACATGCACTCTGGTCGGATGTGCGACCAGCAACTGCTCTATCTGGTGTTGGATGTCGAGCGGGCGACGGTGCCCTGAGAAGAGGCACAGGATGAAGCGCAGCGGGCGAATGGGGAAGAGTCCGAGGAGAAAGCAGCAGGAGGGGGCGGGTCGGGAATGGAAACAACAAAGCTGTCCAATCTCTCCTTCGCCTGCTTCCTCGTCATCTTGATCCGCGGTCCTAACGCGGGTCCCTGTAGCTGTATCGGTGGACTGCGTGCAAATTGGTCTGGGAGGCCTCTCTTCCTGTTGCCTGCCGTGATGCTCCTGGACTCGTTCCCCGACCCCTCCACCTCCTCCTCCTCCGTGGGCGGTGCTTTCCGAGCACGGAGCCAAGAAAGCCTGCACGTGGGGGTGTTGCGTAGGCGTTGGGTGAGGCGGGGGGTTTGATGAAATCCCTTCAAACAAATATGGCAAACTTCTCCAACCGCCAAAACCGAGGGAGCATCCATTTTCTTGTGATGCTTTCCTGTATGAGCTCTCAGAGACTGAAGGCTGTCCGCCTGGAACTGGCAAAGCTGACAGGCAAAGACGGCGTCAGGGGTTGCTGGAGCACCTAAAAGAGTGCCTTTGGCAATGTTGTGCAACCTACGTGTCCAAATCTCAGCGTGCAACACGTCCCTCTCGAAAACTTTTAGCTTTGTTGATGGCAGCCCTCAGAAGTGCCTGGAAATCCCTGGGATGGTGCCTGGCGAACTTGACGAGGCCTTCAGGAGTGGAATCCTCAGGTCTCCTGGAGGGGTCCGCGTGGAATCTCAGCCACCTGTAGTCATCTGCAAGGAATTGTGCCCAACCTTTGGGCGCCTCCCACGTTAAATCAACCATGACGCGGATGAGAGGCGGAGCAAAGTGGATCATCCTTCTAAGATACCTGAGGCGTACCACTGTTTGCATGATCCTAAGTGGAAGCCTTTCAGTATCAAGCAACACCTGTGCTGTCATCATTTGTTCGTGCTCGTTATTAATACGTGGCCGGCTCAAGGCCGCGCGATGTATGCTAGCATGTGTTGTGACGAGCTTGCTGCGCTGCATGTTAGGGGTAGCAGGCCAGACAGCACAGGCGCATAGGAACACAGAGGATGCCAGGGACTCGGCATACAACACCTTGGATCGCAACGACAAGGACGTTCTAGGTGCAATCGTGGCGGCAATCGGTCCCAGGGCGCCCTTCGTTTTGGAAATGCGGGAGGAGATGTCATGCTCCAGGCTGCCCGAGGCCGCCATTTGAACCCCGAGAATCTTGTGGACCTGGACCACAGGGAAAGCAAACTGCCACTTGTCCGAAACAACCGAATGTCCCTGGAGACGCGGGAAATCTGCTACTGATCTCGCCCCTTTGCCGCGAAGCCCTACTAGTAGCTTTGTCTTGGTCTGATTGGGCCTTAGACCGTGAGTAAGACATACCACGTAGACCGCCTCCGATAGTTCTAGAGCAATCTGGGGTACCCGTTTAGCTTCTACCACGCACAGACTGACCGTTAGATCATCGACAAATGAGAGATCTGATTGGGCTCTGTCCCAATCGGCATCAGAGGCGCTTCGGCACATCGGCTTCTCGAAGGTGTCCTGCACCGCTGCTTGCAAAGGTTGAATCGCCTGGCGAATCTGTAGCAGCACTGCTCTGAAGGCTAGATTGGAAAAAATCTGCGGCAGGTATCGCACCTGGTCTCGTGCCTCCCGCTGGGGCAACATGATGATCAGCCTGGCGTACCTGCCAGCAAGTTCCTCTCTGCGTCTCTCGCACCAGGGCCATA